CCCCCCTCCAAGGACTGTGGGTCACTTACGATGTCCGACGTCCAGTGGGTCAGCGAGTGGTACAAGTACTGGTCAGATGTTCTGTCTGCCTTGTTCCTGAACCGGAGCCGTTAAACTCGACGAGAGTCTACAAGGTTTTAACCTCTTCCTTTCTCACCAATGGTGGAGACGGGTACTCCATGTTACCTGATGGTGTTATTAAGATGAGTCGTCTGGGTGAGTCGTATTACAATGTATTTTCCCCTTCTTTTACGTCCCTTTTAGCTTGATATGGTAGACTGTAGTACAGTTTTGCAGGAACTCTGTATCCCTCTCAACCTAGATTGGTCCTGACACGTAGGTTTGAAACCTGCCTCCTTAAATTATTAGATTTGTGTCTTCGTGGGCGTATAAACACCTGGATTTAGACTTTTAAAATGAGTTTATTACCTTTCTGAAAAGCAGTAATTCTAATCTACTTGCCAATCGGGATAGCCTGAGATATACTTGTGAAAGGATCAAGAGAAAAACAAGATACATCCTTTTCGACAAAATTTAGTTCACTCATGAGTCGGGTTTCGACCCTGCCTGTCAAGTCCAAATCGGGTTGAGAGGATACTACATCCCAGAAGGAAGATCGAAGAAACTCGATAAAAATCATCTGGACTCGGGAATCGAACTCTGCGTGCTATGGCAGAACGCCTAATCGCTACACCACAGACACAAACACTATTTGGCAAGCCTGAGCAAGTGGAATTTTAGTTAAATAGAATATTATAATATACACATTTTGACGTGGGAGAGCCAAGCTTCTGATAGACCAACTTTTAGAGCAGTAGTTAGAGTGGGCAGCAAATCATATGAGGATTCTTGAAGAAAGATTGCGGAATTAATGAGAGAAACCTGCAAGCTATGCACAACCATGAGTGAAAATGAAACTTTCAAATGAAACTTTCAAATGCTCAAAATGTTGCATACCTTTCTCTGCCAGAATCAGTCTCGTTGGCCACAGCAGAAGCAAAACGTCAATTTAATCTTTGTTTCTTCTATTGCCCTTTAAAATGTTCCGATGCAAATGTATTGGTCATTATCAGATATTGACGGGTGAACTATTAGGATGTTTTATGACGTCATATACAGGTACGACGTGGGTTTGTGATAACGTTGTGTAAGATTTCGACCAAGCGTGATAAGGAAGAGTAGACGACCCGATCATATGTCGTAATTAACTTAACTCTATAAAGACATGGCCGACATGTGTTTGGCGTTGTGGTGAAATCAGGCGCTCGTCAAAGTGATTAAATCAAAGAAACTGGAAATGTTTTACCACTTGATCGATATTTATTGAATTCTTTTTTTTGGGGGGGGGGGGGGGGTTGGCTTAACACCTTTTATTTCCACTAAAATCACATGTCTATGTGGGTTTTACTGCAAATCGGCGATGTAAATTTGCAGTTTCCAAGGACTCTCGTGCATACGAGGTCACCTTACATTAGATACAATTTTCTTGCTAATTTTACCAATGACGCCAGTATTTAACAAAGATCGCAAATATCTGGATTGACAGATAGATACTTTTTCGTCAAAAAGCATGACTAATAAAGGCGCTTTAAGTGTACCATTAACTTCATTAGCCCCAAATTGGCGAGCACCCGATTCCACATAATATATTATGTATAATGTCCGATTACCAGTAGGCCAGAGACAACGTTCCGGCAAATTTAGAACTATTGTACACAAAGCAGAAACGCGAATTTGCATATTTCGTATTACGCATACCATTGCCGGAGTCTTTAGCTTTCAGATAAAGAAAACATAATTTTTTTAATGTGTACGAAATAGAAGTTCATTTCTTTTTTTTAAAAGTGTCCCCAAAACAGCGCGTCTTCAAATCGTTGTCAAATTACAGAAATGCGTGTTATCAACGTACATGTATTAGACATTCAACGTGGCAATATTCCAAATTCACTTGATTTCAACAACACCAATAACAGGGTACCTCTGATAGATTACATTTATTTGTCTACCTTTTCTTAGAAATTTTCTTTTTTTCTCTATTCTCTCTTGCTCTTCCTGACCTATGCACAATGTTGTGTCCTCATTAATATGTACAAATGTAGGTGGTTTTTTGGTTGGATATTGGTGGTCATAGTATTGGTTTAACGTCTTTTTCAGCAACATAAGGTTATTTAAAGGGTGGGAGCTCTGTTATTTAACACCCATCTCCAATGGTATTGAGTCACATAGGTGGAGAGCCTTTCAACATCCCCAAACCAACCCGAGTTCAGAATGCGATATTGGGAATTCGAATCACAGCCATCCGTTCTTCAATACAGAATGATACCAACTGAGCCAACGATGGGCCCCTTTCTTTTGGGTAAAACCAACAATATATCGCCTATTAATGACTTTGGTGGTTGTCGTTTACGCACTTTATACCTATCAATCTAGGAATTTATCTCGAAACATTATATTTTTGTTATTCTGTTTCTGTTTGTTTGTTTATTTCATCATCATCATCATCATCATCATCATCATCATCATCATCATCATCATCATCATCATCATCATCATCATCATCATCTCTCTTGAAATAAAGGGGCCTCATGAAAGCGAGTTTCGAGCTTTTACCATCTTAGCTTCTACCCCCCCCCCCCCCCTTTCTTTTTTCGACTTAAAGTAGAAAACCTAATAACTTTAGACAACAGAAGAATAAACTGAAGACGCATTGACTTCAGTCCACGTTTTCGGTGCTTCCAACGGGCATACTAGTAATAATAAGGTCACGCAGTGCTTGGGAAAACGGGAGATATCGTTACACATACACACCGCTGGGTACATGTACCCCGATAGTATAATACATTAAGAGGGAACTGGGGCAAGCACACCACAGAGAGAGAGAGAGAGAGAGAGAGAGAGAGCAAGAGAGCAAGAGAGAGAGAGGGGGGGAGAGAGAGGGG